CTGGTGTGGCTCAGTGGATTGAGCACAGGCCTGTGAATGAAAGGGTCACCAGTTTGATTCCCAGTCAGGGCACATGCCTGGGTTGCAGGCTTGGTCCCTGGTGGGGGGCACATGAGAGGCAACCAGACATTGATGTTTCTCTCCCTCTTTCTCCTTCCTTTCCCCTCTCTCTAAAAATAAATAAATAAATAAATAAAATGTTTGGTTTTTTTTTAAAGCAAACACTCAGTGTTTACCATGGGAAATACGACTGTGGAGAGAATAATGGCTGTTTTTTCAAATGTTTGCTGAGGGTCAAGCATAGTTCTAAGGATTCTATACATACTGTTTCATATATTTCTCAAAGTGTTACATGCTTTTTAAGATGTAAAAGCAGAACAGTTACTCTTTGAATCCTTTCTCTCACCCAGTGCATGCAATCAGTTTGCAAGTCCTGCCACCAAGGGTAGAGTTATTAAGCCTCTTGAACGCACCCCCTCCGTTCTGTTCCCAGTGTCACTAGCCTAGTTCTGCTTCTCATGGTGTCTCAGCTGCACCCTACCACAGCCTCACACCTTGTCTCTCCTAACTCCAGTCCATTCTCTACATTGCCTCTTGTAATTCTAAAACACAGCTTTTGTGCCACTCTTGTATAAAGCCTTTAATGGCTCCTCTTTGCCATAAAATAACTCAGATTCCTTGGCATGGCACAAAGGTCCTTCAGCTTAGGGTCTGTCGCTCATTTCTTGTTATTTTCCCTGTCCCCAGTTTCTCTGCTGCCCCTTCTCCTTCTCAAAGGTTTTAGTCCACAACCACCCAGAACAACTCACAATTGACTGGACACAATGACTACTTGTAGGCAACAAGTATGTATTGTGCAGCTACTATGTGTTATTCACATGCTACACACTTTACCTACATTATCCTATTTCATTGTAACAAGGACCCATGCGGTTAGCATTAGCATTGTCCTTTTCAGAGATGAGAAACTGAAGCGCAGAGGACTCAGCTAGCCGAATGTCACACGGCCAAGTGTGGGGCGGGGTGCCTCGCTTCACCTGGAGACCCGGGCACTTTTCCACCAAATTCCCTGCTTTTGCTTAGCAGGGTCTAACTCCGCTGGTCCCCGCTGGATTATGCGCTAATAGCAGGCACGAACTGTGTCCACTTTATAACCAGTGTCTCGCTCCACGCCTGCGAACGCGGGTCACTTCAAATGCTTGAACTGATGATCCATTGGAAGGACGAGGGAATGTGTCTAAAGGACGCTGGCGTAGCCTAAAAAGAAAGTCCAAGAGGGGTTCACTACTCCCCCACTCGCTAACAGATTTGCCAGGGCCCAAACTTACCAAAGAAACTGACAGCCGCAGAGTTCCTAGTCACAGCCCTGGCCTGGGGAAAGTCTTGTTTACGGCAGTTACCGTGGCGACGCTTCCGGGCGTCCTCCGCCCGGGCCGTGAAGCGCATGCGCCCCAGAGTGGGTGTCACTGGGAACTTCTGTCTCACTCGCCCTTTGGTCCCGGTTATCTCACCAAGTGTGACTCAAGTTCAAAGCCAATTGGAAAAGCCCAGCATTCTACCAGTTTAGTGTCCCAGTTTAATTTTTACATCCAGTTTATATTATTATCCTAAGGATATTATAGTACTAAACCCAATGACTTTTGAATGCTTTCGAAAATACCTGCCTAATAATATAAAATGGCCTAAAAGATCCCCTGACCGAGTAGTGTCACCAGCAAAGATACTTCGGGAGGCTTTCGTTCATTTGTTTATTTACTTAGGTATTTATTTTACACTACGTTGTCTGTTGGCCTTCAATAGTAAATCAGATTTCATGTCATGGGCTCTCCAGTCGCAGGACGCTGGGCGCAGAACACAGAAAAACTTGACGGATTTCTCAGTTTAGCTGTTTGCTCAAGTGTTCTGGTGCTACACCCAGAGCTCGAACTGACTTTTAAATAGCTAGTGTTACTGATTACAAAACATAGTTTTAAAATGGCTACAATATTGCAATAATATGTAACCAAGAAGTTTGCATCCAGAAAATACAAAGGATTCATAATTCAGTAAGAAAAAACTAACCATCTAATTTTTTAAATGTGCAAAGGACTTTGAATACTTCACATCCCATCTATGAGTGGTCAATAAACACGTGGAAAGATGCTTCGCAGCAGTCCTCGGAGAGACGCGCGCAACAATGTACACACTCCACACTCACTGGGATGGGTCCCATTTTTAAACTGCCAGCACCAAATGTGGAAGGCTATGGGAGCAACTGGAACTCCACACACTGCTGTTGGGCATGCAGAATGGCACACTTTGCAAATCCTTTGGCAGTTTCTTTAAATAAATAAAATCTTTAAAAACATAAAAGTTTAAACCGATACCATACCATTTTATGTCCAAGGTATTTACCCAAGAGAAACAGAAACTTATGTCTGGCTCTGACCGGTGTGGCTCAGTTGGTTGGGTATCATCCTGCAATGTGAAAGGTCACAGGTTTGCTTCCCAGTCAGGGCACATGCCTGCATTTCAGTTCTGTCCCCAGTCAGGACGTGGACAGGAGGTAACTGATTGATGATTCTCTCCCTCTCTCTCCCTCCCTCCCCCTCTTTCTAAAAATAAATGAAGCCAATGAATTACTGTCTTTAAATAGATATAGCTTATTATAAATTATTTGTTAATGAAGTCAATAGGGAAACATTGCTGTATTACATTTTGCTTACTGGTTTCCAAGTTATACAACTTTCCAGAAACTTCAAACCATGTGTTTATTGGCAATATTCAAATATTCTCTTTAGAAAGTATTCTCTAGGATTTTTTTTTTTAGAAAGGACCTAACCTTATTATTAAATTGTATACCCAGAGGGTCTGAAAAGTCAGAAAACATAAGATAAACTTATTTTTAGATAGCATGTTAGTTATATTTTCAAATATGCTCAATATGTTTTCTGTCAACTTCCAAACACCTTTTCAGGTGAAATTAAAAACCTTGAAATTAAAAGCAATGGGTTCAATTGTTAATTAGAGAAAAACAAATAAACTCACTACATAATGTCTTTAAAAATCTGGAAACAGACAATAGTGTATTTATTTGAACACTAAAAACTGTCAGTTATTTCTGAGTGTTTACTGTGAGTCAGGTCTGTTCTTAGTGTATTTACAGGTATTTACCTCACTTAATCCTCACAACTTTGTAGGAAAGACTTCGAAAGATGCCATTAATTTGCCCAAAGGGAGACAGCCCCGAGTCCAAGCCTTCCAACTGCAATACTTACACCCTTTGCTACATTGCTGTGTCAGTTATCTCCTGTAAGTCAGAAGTCCCACGATTATTTTAAAAAGAGCTTCAAGTCCTGGTTTTACTTCTTATAAGCACTTTGACACGAGGCAACTTCCTTCACCTCCAGGGCTCAATTTCCTCATGTGTAGTGGGGTGGGTGGCATTTAACAACTAACTCATGAGTTTACTGTGAGATTGAAATAAAATAATGGGGATACTGCAGCTTGGCACAGTGCCTGCCACAGTAATGGCTCAATAAAGGACAGCGATTATGATGACGGTGCTTCCATGCCATACACAAGGGGGGATGGCAGCAGGGGACCGGCTTCAGAGAAAGACTGCCTGTGTTCCCATTCTAGTGCCACCACCTCCTAGCCATGTGACCCTGAGAGAGCACTTACCTCCTTGCACTTCATCTGCAAAATAACGATAATCGTACCTACCCACATTAAGCTGTCAGGAAGTCAAGTAAAGTGGCTAAAACACTGCCTGGCACTTAGTAAACAGTAAATTATTGTTAAATTCTGCTAGCTCAAATTATTTCACTATACAGTGTAGGAATGACTGTACTACAACTGCAGATTTAATTATTGATCTAGTTTTTCTTCCAAGCGACTATTTGGAGAACTATAAATTTTACTAAAGTCTAACAAGTGATTAGCAACTTTCTATTGCACATTGGAGAAGCTATATGGTGCCGGGCTGTGGCCTGAGTCTAAACAAAAGAAATACAAGTAATCTGAGAGTCCTAGGAGTAAATACAAATGTATACATCACAGTCAAATGTAGCAGAGCGTGCCCCTCTGCAGTGCAATAGACTCCAGCCTTGAGCACATTATCAGAATCACAGAAAGAACGAATTCAGACACTAGAGTTTCTGAACAAGAGACCCAGAGTAGGGCCCAAGAGTTTTCATTTCTAACAAGTACCCAGGCTGATGCTGCTGCCGCTGCTGCTGCCAGGGGTTCAGACTGGGGGACCCACTGATGCAATTGGCTCTGAAAGCTGATAGAGGCCTTTTAAGTAATGTAGCTGTTAATTAAAACCAAGTATGCACCAATTTATGATTGAGGACAATAACATCTTTGTAATGATGGTTCCCAAACTTGGCCACACAACGTAATTATCTTAGGAGGTTTTAAAATATTAATGTTTGTGTCCTGCCCCTAAATATTCCAATTTACTTGATATGTATAGAGACTTGGGCATTATGAATTTCAGAAGGTCCCCACATGCTTCTAATGGAAGCTGAAGTTGAGAAGCACTGCTTTAGAAGGCCTAGGAAAGAAAGGCTTTTACAGATGGTATTCTTGGAGTTTTTAAATCTTATGTAGCAAAAACCAACATTAACAAGATGGATACCTGAACATCAGGCCCACAGGTTGCCAGTGAGCTAGTGATAAAAGTTTCTTGCCATGGTTCTCAACTCTGGCTTCACATTAAATCACCCTGAGCTTTTAAAAACGGCATGCCCAGGCCTCAACGAGCCCCTCGGGGAGTCAACTGTGGCATCTTTTAAATGCTCCCAAAGTTGAGAATCTTGGCTTTTGAGGTTTACAGAAATATAAGGAAAAAACAAAGATAAAGAGCCAACCAGTTGAAGAATAATTAGGAAAATGAATGTCCAAAAAATGCATTCACAAACCAAGTAGATAATCTTACATTTCAATAATATAAGGAATAAAAGTAAAATGGTTTATATCCCAGGGAGGGATAGTATTTATTAAATACCATGTTTCAAAAAGTGCAATATGGATGAGGGAATTTTGCATTATTTGCAATAATGCAAATGGATACAGATGATTTTATGTAAATAAGATCAGTGGTACCAGAAGAAGATAATATTATTTTTGGCTATAACAATGAAGAGGCCCAAAAGGAAGCTGCATCAGACACTTCCGAGAACACAGACTTACAACTGCAGGAGAAGGGAAGGTTCCCTTATCCGAGAAAGTGTTCCCCAAATACATAGTTGCAGTGTGCTTCCCTGCCCCCCCCCCATAACCACCTCACTTAGATGGGGAATTCCTATTACACAGCCAGGGAGTAAATATTTCAAAAACCAAGTTTAAAATAGAAACCAATGTCTGAAAGCCAAACAGAGGTATGTATGGCTGTTGGCCTTAAACAGCCAAATTGGCCTTAAAGAAAGACCTACCCTGAATGCTTAGTAGACTCAGGGCTAGGAAAATTGATAGCAACTTTTCCTATTCAATTTTGTTTCAAATACTAAATACACCCATTAGTCATTGTTACTGCACTGAAACATTTGAGCTCTACGATCATTACTGATTTTATGTGCGTTACCATTACTGGTGACACTTTCACATTTAAAGACCATGTAAGAATTTTACAATATATACAACCACTCTAACCTGCTGAAGCAAATATAAATGATTACTCTCATGCCCACTTTTTAAAGCTGTACATTCCACTGATGGAAAAGTAATGGGCTACCGTGACTTTTCCGAAAACAAAAAAAACAAAGAGGTGTTAAATTTTTCTGAAAGCCAGACTTTAATCACACAAAGGCATTCTGTTATAATTTATATGCAAAGCAACTTAGTTCTTCAGAAAATAAAAATCAAATAGATCAATATTTAAGATATATTAGACAGGGGGGTAGGGTAAAATAAAAGATATATTAGACAAAAAACCTGAAAAAGGGTAATAATATATTACTCAAACTTTAAAATTCTTATGAAATATTAGAATACGAAACTTTAATTTTTCCTATAGCTAAAAGTTTTACAGGACATTACAGTTTGGTTAACTGATGGAAATCTATTTAAAAGTTCAAAAATAAAATAATTGCTTTATTTCTTTGGTCTGTAAGATCTTTGTAGTTTTATCTGAAAGAAGGACAAAAACTGGAAAGCAAGAGCAGCGAAAGGGGATGGAAGCTCAAGAACACACTGTGAGAGGCAGCTGTAGAACTTGACCTCACTCATGACACGTGGGTAGAAAGGGCAAACCAGCCTTCTTCATTTTGTCTCTCAATCTGTTGAAATAAAGATGCAAAAAGGATTTAGAAACTAATCAGAAACGGTGAGTCCATGCAAGTAAGTACACAGAACCCTACGCCCCTGCACAGTACTGGAAAGTAAATGGCCAGGGGCCATTTTTATTCTCTATCAGAGAGACTCCCAGGTAACTGATCCCCTGGACAGCAGGTATGCTTGTTGATTTATGACACCTAATTTTTAAAAAAATGATAAATCCAGTATTTTATGCAAATCAGAGGTACAACTTTAAAAATAACAATTATTTAATCTTATAAGTTAAATTTGTTTATAAAAGTTTACTTTAAAGCATTTTTAGTATATATTAAACAGCAAAGGTCAAATCTTCCAGTGTTGGACAACCAGGATATCTGAGCCCATCAATTAATTTAGACTGTAAATATCTGCTGTTTATTGAAACACTCACTATTCGGTCTAATTACTGAAGTAGTAACATGAGCAGCAAAGAAGATTCCCCCATATCAGAAGTTGTTAGCTCAAGTTTTCGGATGTGATGTTTATTATTTTAAAGGTATCCTCACATTTGCTATGCCCAAACACTCAGAGGAACTATGTTTGGCTGTATCATCAACACACAAAAATGCCTTTTGCTAAAATTTTGGATATATTGTAAGATGCTTAGTTTCTATGCAATCCTATAATAAATGAGAACACATGACAAATGTGTAAGACATTTATTTACTCTTTGAGCCATAAGTGTAACCAGTGCACCTCCGCGTGGCACCTGGGGCCACAGAGAGTGGCCACCCCCGGGCTCTGACTCTCCCAAACCCCACCCAGCTGCAGCAGGGACCGAGGGCACCAGCATCTCAGGATGCCTACAGCACATTTAAGGCACATGCCCATGTCCTGCCACTCTATCTGGAATGTTCTCCCTGAAACCAGTAATTTCTAGTCTGTAAGGATTGTTAAAATCCTACTGAATTTTATCTTATTCCTTAGTTACTCTATAAAACAGAAGAAGTACATGGCTTTTGTGTTTTTCTAATGAAGGTAAATTCATATTTATTTACTTCTGAAAATTCCACATCATCTTTAGGATAACAGACATGATAATTAAGAATGAAAATCACTAACACAGCCACCTTCCACCCTCACCCTCCAGCCCCCAAATACATCTCACAATTACATTTTATCATATACCTTTGCTCTTGGATTAACAGGTGTGAGTTGCCCACTTCCTGAGGTGGCATTTAGTGGAGAACAAGAATTACTAGTAGCCCCTGAAGACCTATTTGTGAAAAATAAGAGAGAGAGAGAGAGAGGTAATCTATCATCATTAACCTTCAGAAATTATATAAGACTGACAATTCTTGATAGTGGCAAGAACTTGAAAAGGTATGGCTGACATAGATCCAAATGAAATAAATTATTCATAACATTTTCACTAACCTAAGTCTTTTTTTTACAATGAATATACTTTCCTTTTTTAGAGTATTTTTAGATTTACAGAAAGACTGAGTGTGAAGTACCAAGAATTCCAATATAGTCCTCAGGCCCTCCTCCCCTACCCAGTTTTTCCGATTATTAACACCCTGTATCAATGTGGCACATTTGTTACAATCGATGAGGTAACAGTGTTACATTATTATTAACTAAATCTATTGTTTATATTAGAGTACAAGCATAGTGTCACACATTCTCTGGGTTTTGACAAATGTATAATGACACGTATCTACCATTACAGCAACAGACTAGTACGTTTTTAACATTAAAGCGGGGAAAGGATGTGCAGGGGTGAAGACGACGACCCAGGCAGTGGAAGAGTAACAGGACCTGGAGCGGGGCAGTGCGCCAGCAGGCGCGCAGTGGGGATGGAAAGCCAGGTAGGTACATCCCTCGTGTCTCCATTTGCCACATGTAACCCACACAGGCAGACCACACAATTAGCTCCGTGAGCTTCGGTCTCTTTATCATAAAGGAGGAAAACACTAGTGGTCAATTACCCACCCTGTCATATATCATCTCCTAGTTTTGTAACCCATAAAGCATTCTACATACGTGCTTTTACCCAGTTTTGCTTTCATTAGCCAGCCCATGCTTTCTATGCTCCTTCTGTCCCCCCCCAAAATTGTCCTCTAACTACTTTATTTTCTTTACATCAGTGAGTCTGAACCTAAGTCAAATATGCACTTTCTTTTGTCACAATGATACATACCACATTCTTGATTTTTTTAAAGTAAATATTCACATTGTAACCCTACCTTCTTGTATTGACTCCACTGGTAGGAGAGACGATACTGCATTTTGAGCTTTCTGGGGCTTCTGCTCCTGGAATAGATACCTCAATTGTCTTCTTTCCTCCTTCTAAAATATAACAATAAATACTAGTTCATTACCTTTCATTAAAATAAAAATATAAAATTTAACTTGTTTTCTGTCTTACTGTAAATTTCACATTAAATTTGAGAGTTCTTTCTATAGTTTTATCATTATGGCCCACAGATACACTTGAAGGATTATTTTTTAATGAGCTGTGAGACAAGAAACTTTAGTTACTAGTGTCAATTCAGTAGCATGCCAGTTCATAGCCAGAATCTTCAGACAAGTAGTATCATGTCAGATCTGGAAGTGAAAAACAGAAATTAAGAGCTAGCCCTAAAGAACTTGAGATTTTTTGTCAAAAGTAGCTTATCTAAAGTTTTCCAAAGAAAGAAAAAAATTCTGAAGTCATTCAGTAAAACTTTAAATCTTCAACATGTATTACAGTATTACTACTACTGAAGACTTTAAGTAGGAGGGGCAAGATGGCAGAAGAGCTTGCATGGCCAATGGCAATAGTGAGGTACGTTTTCAATACAGGGTCTGGCCAAAGTAACACCTGCTTGAGTGTGGTTGGAAGGATAATAATATGGGTGTAAAAATTCATTGTTTTAATTTGAACATTTTAAAATGTTCACATGGTGTCCTTGAGTGTGAGATTGTTGTTAAAGAATTACATGCTTATGATTTTGTAATAAAAGATTTTATAATAAAAAGGGGGCATTACTTGTGCCAGACCCTATTTTCAGATGCGGGTTATCAATCAACAAATATTTACTAAGTATCTACTAATGAAAGGCTTTATGCCCACCCAGTCAGTTCCACAGAGGCTTCCACGAATCACTGCTCAAAACCAGTGATTTCTGGGCTTGAGGGGGTAATGAACTCCTATTTACACATTCCTCGTTTCCCTAGAAAACAAGAGTTTTTATGGCAAATGATTTATTTTTATCTTATCATTATAGTCCACAGTGGTTCCTGTGAAAGACCTAAGAAAAGAATATCTTAAATGCTGTAACCACTGCAATGACAAGAATAGTCACAAATCTACCAATTTGCTTTAGAACTTAGGACAAACCATATAACCTATGATCTACTCTCGGGGTGTGTTGAGGACTAAATAAGAACATAAATAAAAATATTTTTACCTTAAAGAACTATTAAAACAGAAGATTCTATTTAATCACAGAATTATTCTTAAGAGTAACCTGCTTTATTTTTCTTCACTGCACTAAGCACAAACTGCCACTATCTCACACATTTGTTTGCGTATTTGTTCATGGCCTGCTTCCCAAGTTGAACACTGAAGCAGTCAAGGGGGCGGGGACTTGTCCAGTTTGATGCAGTATCCCCAGCGTCCAGAACATGGCAGGCATGTAGTAGGTGTACACACTTATTCACTGATTTAATTTATGCATTCTAATTAGAAGTTGCATCTAGACTTCGTGACTATGAAGAAGAGTAAGCAAAGCCATCATTTGAAGAAACCTAAAATAAAGAGGAAGGGACCTGGGAAAACGCACCATCTGTCATTTTCCAGGAATTTCTGAAAAGAGTCTGCTTTCTGGGTCTGTAGTTTCAAAAAGAAAATAACTTCTAACTAAAAGAAAAAGTCCTGTTGGCAGAGACCTTAAAGGAAACCTACTTCAACCACCCGGGCGACACATGAATCTTTCTAAGGCCCGAAAGCCCGGGCACCTGAGGGGACACACACCACCCACTGATGCAGAGCTTTTCCTGCGTCTGACGGAGCCCCCCCTCACACGGAGCCACCAGCACTGCCTGCACAGCCTTTGTGCAGCTCCGCCCCTCGAGGATCTTAATCATTTAATTTTTGGCTAAGGAGCGACTTCAGATCTACTTCATTTCATCAGCACCTTTTAAAATGTGAATACTGTGACAGCTGATTTTTCAGTTACTGCTCTATTAGTTAGAATCCCCTCTAGCTTTTCACGTTCCTAAACATAAAAATAAAAAGTTTAATTTACAAATTCATGTTTCAGTGAGTTCAGCAGAGTAACCTGTAACTTGTTGCCGATGCAATTCTACATGATCATCTTGATGCTTTCACCCTATGCAGGATGTGTTTTAAGTAAATCACCTACTGCAGTGAGTCCCGTTTCCATGTGGCACAGCTTCACCCAGACGCCCAGATTACCACAGCTCCGTGGGACAGTTTTCTCCCAGGAGACTGGCCTTCCAGCTCTCTCTCTGTCATTTATTCTCTGACTTGGTCTGTTTCTTTCCACATAAAACTGACAGCACTGAAATATATGTTTCTTCAGTTCAATATATACTTACAAAAGTGAAAACTACTTAGCTTTTAAACTGTCTACCTTTTAAATCATGAATCTGTGACCAATCAGTCCAGGCTGTGAGAGGTGACTGGGTAGGTGATGCTGGTGGAGAGGAAGGACCCAAACCAACAAGTTTCTGCTGCTCTATTAACTGCAAGAGTTTTCCACGAGCCTCCATACTCTGCCGGTTCAATTCTGCAATCCGTTCCTCCATGCTGCTTGGTGTAAGAGGTTGCGCTGCTGGAAAAGTCTTTTAAAAAAAGCACAAATTCCATATTAAAAATAACCCAAACAATTCTGACTTTTTGTAGAAATAAATTATTGCATAAAGGGCCAGCAAGTTAATACTCATGGTCCCTGCTATATGCATGCTTGAATAATGGATAAACAATTAAATTTACAAGTCACTTAACTGAAAAATTAAGACTACAACAAAGGGATAATAATCCTAATATTGGTGTCACATAAGTCCTCTAGTCCCTCTGTCCACGGAGCATGTCTGTGGGACAAGCTTTCCTGCATCTCTTGGTGTTCGCTGAAATTCAGAAAAGCTCACATGAGGAGACTGTTTCTAGAGATGTGGCTTCCAAGTAACATGCACATTGACGCCGGGTCTGGGCTCTGAACTGCAATATGCAAAAGGGTCTGCTGTAGTTTAAGGACGTGCTTCCATAATCATAATCTTCATGCATGCACCATGAATAATTCTTTGGCAAAGATTTCTAGGACCCTATCGCTCCTTCTGACTACACGCCAGCCTCCCCAGGCCACTTGTGGCCCACAATATTTGATTCAAGACAGCTGGTGACTGGAAAGGAATACAAGAGGGGAAAAAAAGAAAAACTACCCAAGGAATAGAAAATAAGTTTGCTTTGAAAATTCCTGAAATATAAGTGTCATTCTGAATTATTTCATTTAACTGAATATGTCCCTTTGTGTGGTAAAAACAATCTCTAAAAGAAATCAGTAATTTGTAGCTTATGCCCATTAGTTTAAAAAGAGATTGTCAAAACATATGAATTAAAGGCCATTTTACAATTCTGATAACAAAAAGGGCAGTAATAGATTATCCTCTCTAGCTTGATCTATATACTAGTTAGAAAAGTAGGCAAACTCAACTTTTAACTCCACTGCCTTTTTTAAACTAAAAAGTTGCCTGTTTCAAATAATCTTTAAAACGCTGCAAAAAACAGAAATGTTTCCAATAACTGAAAGTTGAGGCAGTGTATATTTACATCTGTACCGATGGCTACTGCCCACTCCTAATACTCCTTTCTGGCTCCTCTTCCGCCGGTCCCTTCTGACATGCCTGCCCCTCTTGCCCTTACCGCCCATGAGTCAGTGCTGACAGACGCTGCCCTTATCCCCAATCCTTAGCACCCTCCATCTCCAAACCTTCCTCTTGGAAGCAATCACCCCTGAGACTCCTAACCCAAGATGCTTGCCAGGCTCCTTCCCCGCTGCTCACTGTCCTGACCCCTCTCAGAAGCCTGGCAGGAGCCACTCTAGGTCATAAAGAAGTAAAAGGAAGCCTCTCCTGTCACTGGGACCAACATGAGGATGGAGGTTATAAACTTTCCCCAGTTGGAGCTTAGGATCCCCTTTCTCTCCACAAACAAGGAAATGAGGGTTTAAGTTACCAGCTTAGCCCACAGTTTACTTAACTTACAAAATCACTGCACCGCAACATGCAGACTTTTGCTACACAGCGTATAATGCGTGGACCGGCATCAATTGGGAACTTACCAGAAATGCACAGGGCCTACCTCAGACCTACTCGATCAGAAAAAGCCTTTTGGCAAGATGCCCAGATATTTCATATGTACAGTGCATTAAAGTCTGACTTTAAAAATCCTTTACAATCATTTCCATAGGAAAATGCATTATGTGTCCTAAAAAATTAACTACTCATGAGATGAGGCTCATCTACACATAATTCTTTTTTATGAGTCCCTTTAAAAATAAAAGTGTTTTCAATTAAACTGCAGTTGTGTGGAAAGTTTTTAAGTTATATTAATTCCACATGTTATCTTTAAAACTTTATTCCTACATTAATTTTGGCTTTGTTAAGTATTTTACTTTTATCCTGTTTTCCTCATTCATTCCTCTTTATATTATGCTGTCCTCTGTTATCACATGTGAGATATAAACTGACAAATAACTTCTACTTATTTTGTAACAGGGACATGACAAAGCATAAGCCATCTAGCATCAACCTCAAAGATACCCAGGACCACTTCTGGAAAGAAGTCCCTTAAGATGCTCCAGCAATGTACCTAAATTCCTAAGTGTCCATGCCGGGCCTTAACTGGTACTCACAGCAGTCGAGTTGCTTGAATGACTTGTCTCCTGTTTGTTTAACTCCCGAAGTCCATCCCCTTGCTCTCCCCCTGGCCCAATAATGTTATTCAGATGTGCCTTGATAGCTGAATTCTGCAGTGTCAGCTCAGCGATGCGTGCCATCATGTCCTTTCTTTGTATTGATGCCTCCTTTGTTCTAAGCTGTTGCCCATCCCCCAACACCAGCGGCTCTTCTGAGAATGCGGGGTTCCTGGGCAGCTGAGTGTTTGAGAGGGAACTGCGCAGGGGCTGTGAGAGGTTAACCAGAGGAGCCTGGGTTTTGGTCTCCAAATCTTCTCCCATGTGAGAGACCCTCCACCTCTGAGTGAAGAGATGACTTTCTTCACTTGAATTCTGAATGTCTGTGTTAGTTGGTAAGGTCTTCTTCTCCCAATTTTGGTCCTTCTCAATTACTTCCACAGTTGGAGGAATTCGTGGAGCGGGACGAGTTTGAACAGTCCTCCTCAGTACTGTAGATAAAATTTAAAAATAACAAACAAACATGCATATTTAGCCATAAATTGGCACTATAATCATCTCATTAGATAACACAGGTGGCAAGCACAAGGCCCATGGGCTAAATCTGGCCCTCCACCTTGTTTCTACCCGGCACCAGCGCCAAGCTCTCACTTAACTGTTAAGGAGTAGTTACATTTATACAGTCCTAAAGTTACATTTGGCCCTTTGAAGGCAACCACAAGGCTGATGTGGCCCCCACTGAAAATTTGACACCCTTGCATTAGTACATCACAGTAGAGAAGTATTTCAACAGAAGGATTTGGCTTCTAAAGGTCTAAATCATTTTGGCAGGAAATACACCTGCAACGCTACCTCTCACAATCCAGTGCACAGACTTTGATATTCCTTAAAGCTTTATCAGTATGCTTGTGGAAAACCATCTGCCATGTTCACATTTAACACATGCATTAACTCACACCTGGGAATCTTGGGGGTGGGAACAGTACAGATAATAATGTAAACTGAGGATGGTCAGAAAAGGCATCTCTGAAGAAGTAAAAATTTTAAATAATTATATGGTGGCAGAAAGTAGAGCAAAGAACATTACAGGGAGAGAACAACATATGTGAAGCCTCAAAATAGGAAAGAGCAAAGAAAGGCGGCCAGTCTAGCTGTCGCGTAGCAACAAGGGAAAACTGGAAAAACATGAGATTGGAGAGGTATGCAGGGTCCATTTCTTGCAGCACTTTTTAAGCCATGTTTGGAATTTTCTAATTTAATCCAAGAGCAACGGGACCTGGACAAGGTTTGGCAATGACTCAATTTACATTTCTTAAATGCTGTGGATAACTGAAGGTCCAGGAATGGAAGAGACCAGTAAGCAACTGTGGTAATCTACAAGAAAGATGGTAGTAGCTTTGAGTAAGATATGTTCAGTTTAGAACATGCTGTGTGTAAGGCTCCTTATAACCCATCCGTATGTCTATCCCAGCAGAAGGATACATGAGCTGGAAACTCAAGAGGCATCCAGACTAAGATCCCAAACTGGAAGTTTCTGGCATACAGGAAGTATCGGAAGCCATCAGAATGAATGAGATTACCTGGAGAGAAAGAATAGAGTGAGGAGGAAAAAAAAACAGTTCCTAGACCTGAAGAGCTTAACATTTAGAATCAGGTAAAGGAGGAGAAGCAAGCAAAGCAGATAGAAATGAAGCAACCAAAGATATTAAAGCATATTAATTATGGAGACCACTTCCAGATAAACAGAAATCAAACTGGGATCAAAATGATTGCCTCCTGGGGCCCGCCTGGAGGTGGGAGAGGAAGAGAGCCCTGTATGTACTTTTTTTTAACCACGTGCAAATAGGAATTTGAATTAACTCTTTAAAATAAGGACTGGAATATAAGAAAATGAAAATAGCATATATATATTGCTCTTAATAGCTTATTTTTTATTGCATTTTTTCATTACCACTGATCCCTCTGTGTCCTCTCCTACTTCCACCCACCATTAAAGGAAAGTAGAAATAAATTAGTAGCTAAAGAAAATATTTATGATGGGAAATTCTAGATATGGTAGATATTCTCCAATATGGTAGCCTCTGGGCCACATGTGGCTATTCATATTCAAATTTAAATTAATTAAAATTAAATAAATTTAAAATCCAGTTCCTCAGTCACTAGCCACATTTCAGGTGCTCGGCAGCCCCAGGAGGCTGGTGGCTACCTGTGACGTGGAGCAGGTAGAGAACATTTTCATTATCACGGGAGGTCCTACTGGACAGAGTTACCTAGAACATAACAACTCTGATGAAGGGCCCTATGTATCTCCCATCTTTACCCACATGTTCAGTTTTACTGAACAGTTCTTTACATGTGAGAATTCTAAACAAAATGCTGAATATATAATAAAAATTTCATTTCAGAATATATATACAAGGATAGGTCTACCCACACACTCTAAAAGCAATGTGCCTTGTTATTTTTCATGTAAAACCCACTGAAAATGCTAACAAAATGTTGTCTACAAAAACATAATTTGCTTTAATCAACATTTAGTATATTTTCCATCAGTAAAAATATTTATAGTAATTGTTTCTTTTAAAAAATGTTAAGCTAATTTAGTATCACCAACGAAAAACAATTTACAGTATCTCAAAAGAGATCATTAGACAAGCTTTTTAAAGCTGTGTGAACACTTGAAAACTTAATTTAAGAAACAAAAATCTAACCTGAACAGAAATCAGATTTGATGTATTTCCCAAATCTAGCCAGAGTTAATAATAATCTCTAGTCTTCTAAATCTATCAAATCGAAGAATTACAGAGCTAAAGGGACAGCAAAAATAAAGGAAACCCTCTCATTTTAGAGACAGAAAAACGGAAGTCCAGGAAAGGTACAGACACTATTAGCCCCGTGCCGCGCAGCCCGTCCCTGAACAGGTGACCGGGGCTCCAGCACTCCGACACTCGGCCAGCCGTCTCCCTACCAACACGGATCTGATAGGCCCTACCTTTGCATTATAAATCCCAAAACAAATTCTATAGTAGCAAAGATTTGTCATTTTCTTTAACCCCTCATGGCCTTTTCAGGTCCTTTATTGGCAATGTACATCCAAGTAAAGAAGATCTGAAAGACTTTATATGTCTTAATGACATTAAATGATAGTCTTCTATTCATCTCTACAAGAAGATAAACACTTATCAAAAAGACAAAAATTTAGGCAAATCAGGGCAAAGTAATACTTTTCTAAAAATTTTGCATGAGAGTCTAAAGTAGTCTTTTGATTGAAGAACACTTTCAAAAATGAAATGAAAGCTATAGCTCCATAAAAATGCATATGTAGGCAAGTAAATATAATTTTCCAAACAATGAAGCAGTCCATGGAACTTCTGAAGACCACCCATGAACTCTAAGTTAAGAGTCTGTGAGCTAAGGGCCCTTTTGGCTCCCTGAGCAGCACCTTGGCAGCCAGCAAGAACAAACACCTTAGGAAAGAGGGCAAAAAGGGAGCCAAGAACACCCTGGCCAGGGGGCTCAATTGGAGGGTTGACCCGTATACCAAAAGGGTTGTGAGTTCAGGGCACATGCCTAAGTTGGGGGTTTGATTCCTGGTCAGAGCACATACAGGAGGCAATCGGTCAATGTTTTTCTCTCTCTCTCACTCTCCCCACGCCCACCTCTCAAATTATAAACATATCCTCAGATGAGGATCTAAAAACAAATGGGGAAGCCTAGAAGAAGGTGGTTGATCCTAGAAAGATTGGTAGATCAGTTTGATGTGAAAGCATCAGCTATGTTCAATATAAGAAATACTGGAAAATACTAGTCACGAGAATTCAAGGAACCAAAATCACATCTGATGTTCTCAAGAGTTCTGTTTTTGAATTAAACCTTGCTGATCTGAAGGATGATAAAACTGCATTTAGAAAATCCAAGCTAAGGCAAAAACTACCTGACTAATTTCCATGGCATGAATCTTACCTTTGAAAAATGTGCTCCATGGTCATAAAATGGCAGACCGTGACCGAAGCTCATGTTGATATCAAGACTACCAATGGTTATTTGGTTAACCTATTCTGTGTTGGTTTTACTAAAAAATGCAACAGTCAGATTCATAAGACCTCATGTGGAGAGCCAAGCAGGATAATGCGTGCCAAGGGAGTTGGAAGCAGGCCTCGGGTTCAGCACAGCTGCCCTAGGCCACAGACTACTGCCCGATAGATTGTTGTAAGGAAAGAATGACTTGGCTGATGCTGTATCACTGTACCAAGAAGAAGCAGCAGATGTTCTTGAAAAATAAAATGTACCCGGCCTTGTGGTTTTTCTTTCTCACGCTCTGCTTCAAAGCTTACTCAATACATAAAGCCTGACTTCACCAATAAACAGTTCCCTCCTCTGTACCCCAGAAAAGGGACTCCACCTGACCCGCTTTGACTCTGTCTCTTTATTTCTTAATCCCCCATCGCCTTCCCTCAGGACCTGACCAATCCAGCTGCACCGGGCGGCAACTCTTATGCTCAGCATCAACAGGTCTGCCAAATCCAGACAGAAGATGGATAGAAATCAATTCCCTGAGAGGTGCAAATGACGTGAAAGAAGTGGTCAAAAACTAGTTCCAGACAGCACTGGAAAGACACAGAAAGGCTTGCCAATCTATTTATCTGCTTTATGATGTGTTTCTTAGAAAAGTGAAAATGCTGAAGAAGCCCAGGTTTGAATCAGAGAACTCATGGAGCTTCATGGTGAAGGCAGCAGTTCTGCAAAAGCTCCTGAGGATAAGACAGGTGCCAGAGTTGAATGAGCTGATGGATATGAGTCCCCAGTCCAAGAATCTGTTTTAAATTCAGACTTTTAATGATGACAAATAAAACAATCACATTTGTGATTTAAAACTAAGAATCTGTGAGCTAGGTATTAACAATAATTTTTTGTAATTTTATTTAAAACTCTATATATGTGCTAGAACAAAAGTAACCCTAAAGCAATTTTTTCTAAAGCAATTTTTAATTGTCCATAGACTTTCATTACAAATTTCCCTCAACTGACTGAGCTAGAAAGTTTTGATGAAAAAGAGGTTAATAACCAGATCTGGCAAAATCTTTAAGGCCACAGTTCTCACCTTTCCTTGATTAAACTTTCATTACTCTTTTGAGAACAATCTCTTCTCGTTTCTTACTCCTTCCTATGCTCCTGGAGCACAGGGACAAATGGGATTCCCCCTACTCCATGATTTAATGCTAAGAGCTTTAGTCCCTTAATTTGAGCATAATATTTATAATTTCTTTTTTTCCTAATGGAACAGATATATAATGAAATTCAGCGTCAGTTCACCATAGGTACAGCATACATAACGTAAACCATCAATCCTCCTTCAACTTAAAGGATACATGTGGTAATCAATATCTTTTTACAATCTGCTTATCGGGTAATAATGAACACAATAGATTAAGTATATGAAGCATAAAAGAACAACTATGATACAACTTTAGAAGAAGCCTGCTTACCATCCTGCAGAGGCGAGAACTCCGAGTTGCTCTTCTGCCTGGGCGGCGTTAACAACACAGCCGGCTCAAACTCGTGTGCCGGAAAACTTTTGGCCAGATTCATACCATCTGAGGGGTCTGGCACCTGTGATAGTTTAACAGGCAAGTCTTCCTGTGGGAAATCAAGCACTTCTTCCCCTCTGAACATCAATGGCATGGCGACATTAGCATTTACAACTGAACCCTCTAAAGAAGATGAGAGGTTATTAGTATGAAACGGAACTAGGGGCACATTTCAGGTATATATATTTAAATGCATTTTCATAAAAGGCAAAATCAGGTGGCCCCTAGAGCCTTCACTTTTAGGCCCCATCTCCCTTCAGCAGTAACTCACAGGCAGGGCTCCTGTGGGGCCAGCGCTGGGAAGAGGCGGCCGGTTTTGAGAAAGCGCTGCAGGCCTCTCACCCTTGAAGACCTCCCCTAGCCATGCAGTTTACCTCATGCAAATCACATTGTTGTCAGCCACTTCTTGAAATCCCCCCCTAGAAAACACTCTTAAAAAACACTTTCTGCGGAGATATTCTCATCAAAGTACTACTTACAAGTGAAAAACATGAAAAAGCCGAAATGTCCTACTCAACTTACCACACAAGATGGCACAGGAGGTGAAAAAAGGCTTTCAAAACATCATCCAAAATAAACAAAAGTTATGAATTTTTAAAGCTCAGTGTTTTGTTTATTCAAAGACCATTTGTCTTCACCTAAGCCTGGGGCACTATGATTAAAAGTATTTGCATTAAGTACTTCCCACTGGTCTAGGACGCTAGTTCTGCTACTTTTGTTTGTGTGACTGCTAAGTTACCAACTCTTGCTAAACCGTAGTTTTCTCATCTAAAAAATGGGGGTAACAATAACATCTACCTCATAAGACTGTTATGACGACTCAATTAGATAATACATGTGAAGCACTTTAAAAGTATCTGGCATAGAGTAAGTATCCAATAAATATTAGTGGCAATTGTAATAGTGACAATGCTGTATACACATGGATAGCGGATAACCCCATATAAGTTTACCATTTTATTTGTTTACTCTGTAAGTATTTTATTTCCAATTGGGGATAATCAGACCTACTCACCTGGATTATCCATAATTCTACCTGTGGCTCTTCTTTCTGTTACCAGACTTTCCTTGTTGTTATTTATCACAGGACAGCTCTTCATGGCATGTGTGAGTGATATGAGTTGCTCATCTGTTGTGACCATGTACTGCTGAAGTCTCACCTAGAGAAAAAGGAATGACATAACATTATTGCCATATCAGACATCAAATCATCATCTGGACTTGTATAACTATATAATTATTTTAAATACTCTAAGAATTTCTGACTTTTCTTCAAATACTAAAACAATACATTCATATAAATACATAATTATAAATATATTAAAAGTCCTATGATAAAGGAATTGTTAAATAATTAATAGAATATTCATTAATAAATGCACTGCTATAACAAAAAGAATTAACCTTTTTATAGGGCTCTTGACTTACAAAACCTTTTATATAGATGATACTGACAGCCTCTCAAGCTACTCCAAGAAACAGTTGTATCAGATGGGGGGGAACTCAACAGAATATTACAGAGGCATTTAAAATGATAAACATAAACTATAAACATTTATGGCCATGTATATAAAATAATGTTAAGAGAAAAAAATATATATATATATATCTAAGATGTACAAACATTTGATAAAAGTCAAATGTTATCAGAATTCAGAAACATTATCAGGACTACTGAATGAAGTACACTAAACATTATTGTATCAGTCTAAATTTTCCCCAAATTCCTCACTCATCTACCCAATGATATATATGTCTATATCTCCATCTAGAGAGAGGCTTCTCAAACTTAAAATGTACAAAGCCAAACTCCTCCTGAACATCTCTGCCTCATCAATCACAGCACCACCCTTCTGACCGCCCAGTCCAAAACTTTGGAATCGCCCTGTACTCTTGTCCTCTTACATCCTCTCCTCTACCCCATATCTAAGCCATCAGCAAATCCTACTGGTGGCCTTCAAAATATATTCAGAATTTGGTCACTTTTCACAACCTCTCTCTCTTTTAACCTAGACCAGACCGTCAAGTCTCACCTGCATGTTCCCAGTAACTCCTGTCTGTAACACACTGCTTCTGTGAGCAGCCTCCTATAGTCTAGTCCCACACTGTTCTCAACTAGACTGATCCACCTGGGGCAACAGCATGACCTCACAGGGGCACCACAGGACATTTTACATTTTCAAGAGGAACACAGATGTTCAATATCTGTCAGGTAGCTTGAGGCAGTTTACAGATTCTACGTTAGATCAAGATATATTCCTTTTGATGATGTCGTATCTTCACAATGCTGGGTTTTAGTAGTTGTGCTAAAAAGCAGTACTGCATAAAATAATTGTGGAATGGAAATAAGAGTGATGGTGTCCAATATGATTCCAAGCTTTCAGAAGCTCTGCAGTGCCCAACACGTACACATATTCCATTAGTAAATAACTGTGGTTACTTAATTATGAATAAAAAAGTACAATTTTTCCTATCCATTTATGTCTTAAGTATAAGACATAAGCATAAGTTAGATATGAATGCTTATCGTTTGAACCCAACTAAAATAAATGGAACTGTTGGGTATTTCTTTTGGCCTAGGGGTGCCTTGAGACACTAAGGGCACAATAAACCAAGAAAGAGCAGAGACCTCTGATCTGGTATTAACATACTAGCCCAAACTGATCCTCTTAAAACCTACATAAGATTGCATCTTTTCTCTACTCAGAACCCTTTGGTGGTCTCCCATCTCACTCAGCATAATGCCCAAGTCCTTACCCAGCCTACAAGGCCACACGTGACCAGGCTTATCTGCTCTTGTATCCTACTACTCTCTCTTTCCCACATTCCACCCCTACCACACTGGTCTCCTTGATGTTTCTGAGTTCAACAGCCATACTCCCACCTCAAGATCTTTGCAGCTCTTCTTCCTCTGTTCAACTGCTCATCTCTCAGCTATCTGCACGCTCTTATCCTCGCGTCTTCCAGGCATTTGCTCAAATGTTACCTCCTCGGGTGAGCGTGGTCCATTCCATTTACAACTTCCCATCAGAAGCACTTCCTGTGCCTCCTACCTGCTTTATTTTTCTTTACAGTATGTATCACCATCACCACTTAACTTACAATATACTCCACTTTCTCTTCTTAAGATTTATTTAGAACATAAGCTCCACGAAGGCAAAGATTTCTTTTCTGTTCACTACTGTATTTCTTGTACCTTGGACAGTGCCAGGCCCCGAGCAGATGCTCAACAGAAGTTTGTTGGACAAATTAGTAAATTTTAAAGCTTCCCATGTTCCCAGAATTGACCATATATGTTCACTAAAACACTTCTACATGAATGTTCATAGCAGCGTTATTCACTCATAATACATAAAAAGTGGAAACAATGTAAATGTCCATCAACTAAAGGATAGATAACCAAAATATGGTACTGACATACAATAGAATTATTGGGTGATTAAAAAAATAAAATGCTGATACATGCTACAACATGGCTGAACACTGAAAACATTATGCTAAGTAAAAGAAGTCAGATACAAAAGAGCACATATTGCATGATTCTCTTTATATTAAATACCCCAATTAGGCAAATCTATAGAAACATAAAGTAGATTTGTAGTTGCCAGGGGCTGGGGGAAGGAGAGAATAGAGGGTGACTGCTAACGGGGTTTCCCTTTGGGGCAATAAAAACATTCTGGAATTAGGTAATGGTGCTGGTGCACAACTCTGTGACTATATTACAACTCACCGAATTGTACACTTTAAAGAGTGAATTAAATGGTGTGCGAACTATAATCAATTTTCTTAAATCACATAATTTATATCTACTGTCCATCTACACAGACACAACTTGTCTACTAACTATTGTTTTCATAGTCTCTTTTGGCTGATAAATAAAAGTTGTAATAACTACCATTTGAGAACAAAGAGATGAAAGAAAGTGTCTCTGTCCTCAGGCAGCTCACAGTTTTGGTGGCAGGTGCACACGTGTGTACACAATTTGGTGAATACAATGAGAGCAATATCTAGAGAGTATCAAAAGCACACAAAGGAAGAATATTTAATGTAGCAAGGAGGCAGGAAGGTTTTCTAGAAGAAATACTGTATACTTCTGTTTAAATAGGAGTAATTTGCCAGACAAGTGGTAAAGAGGACTCATCTAATAAATATGAAGTTATTATAAACAACTTTAAATGTCATATGATTGCAGAGGGTTCCTCAAATGTTATCCTCTACTGTCTTGAAATTAAAAGTAGCTAGCTATCATAACACCCATTAAACATTTTGAATCAACTACTATATTGGTAGTTATCATTTAAACGTAGATTCTGTCTTTGTCACTATTCAGTATGTTTCTTAAAAACAGTAGATTTACTCTATGTAACTCCTGTAGTCCAAGTTTCTACAATAGTATTTCCAATATAATCAGTGGCCAACAAAAACTACTGTGGATGATAAATTAAGAAGTATAAGTAACCCTGTCAGCACAACTAAACCAAAGGCAAATAGAAGGAATCTCATACATTCTTAAAGATATTTTATACTGTACTACTGAACAGACAGAAGTTTGGGATTTTATGGGAGTACCTGGGTAGCAGTATTTTCTTCTCTAAGATGCAGAATTTCGGCTGTCAGAGCATCAATGAGCTCTCGATGATCACCTAATACTTGTTCCAGTTTCTGTCTTGTTTCAACTTCTTTACGCAGTTGCAGCTCACTCTACCTCCCCCCAAAAATCAAATAAACTCCCATTAATAACATCACATATTGAATACTAAAACTTTCTACTCAAAGTTGTCAAAGAAGAGAATGCTTACAAAGTATATATTATTGACAGTAATTAGAGTTTAGTATATTTATTAAAAGGTTTATATTTCATTAAAATGTGCTGCCTTATCCTCTGCCCTTCTTTAAATAGAACACAATAAACAGAATGGTATACAGAATTGAATAACTACAATTCTGTAGAAGAAAGTAGAAACAAGTACATATACACATTGCTTGAACATATGCAGACCATCTCTAGAAGGACACACAGGTGTAGGTACTTCTAGATAGTTGGCCCTAACAAATGATAGTTGGCTACAAGGAAGCAAACAGGTTAAATGGAAGTTAGGGGTAGCAATTAGATTTTTCATCATACACCCTTCTGTATCTTTGAATTTCATAGCATGTGAATATATCACCAATTTGAGAATTAAGTCTGCTAAAAATATAACCTAAGATAAATGACAACAGGTTTAAATGGTTGACCTTTGTAAAGCAAGTGATTAGCTAAAAAGTACATGCTTATAAGTCTGTAATACTTTCAGAAAGCCAAAGGTACACTCCTGGAGATTCCTGAATTGAGGGTGGAAGAATGTTAAGACTTTCATAAGTCTGACAATACAACAAATTGTTCACTAAAAAGCAATTTTATGAAGAGAGCTCCAGAGAAATTGAAACTTCTGAATTAAAGAAGCAACATTTTTAATAAGATTTCCTCAAATAGTTTTATCATATTTTATGTTTAACAAATTTAATACATAAAAATAGTTTAAATGAATTATTTTAAAAGATGAACTACATAGCTAAGTCTAATTCCACCACACTCTGAGGACCAATGATTGTTATTCACAAATGAATTAAAGAAACAACTGCTTGCCTCATGAACTATTTCACAACAATAAAACGTCTCCTACTAAGATGCCGAAGCAAAGCCCAAATTACCCGTCACAGAGACGACACGAAGAACTATCTACAGATAACGGGCGTGCTGCTCTGCAAACTGAACTCAAGTGGGAAGAGGAAGCGGAGAGCAGCACGGGACACATCTAGTAGTTCTATTTAATCTGTAACGGCTGAGCAATAATATTCAACATTAGCACAAAACTATTGATAGTGGATTTACTTTCCTAATTATATTTTACTAAAGCTCACATTAAAATTAACATCACTTCGCTGAGCATGTATCTACACACTAGATGATACACAAATCAGGATGTAGAGGGAAACTCAGAGGATACCTTTACTGCAGAAATAGAAAACCGAGGTATTTTAAACAAAGCTATTCAAACCTGACTATACTTTATTTGGAAGTTGCAACCACCTAAGTATAGAGGGAAAATCCCACACCTTTCCTCCAGTGCTCGAAAGAAGATTCTGATAGCCTCATGCTCTTACCTCTTTAAGGTACCGGACCAGGCGGCAGAGGGAGCTCACCAGCGACAGAGTGAAGCCTGTAAGACCCTGGCTGCTCTGCGGTTCCTTGACCTCACGACCTGTCGATCGCTCATACTCTTCCATTTCATATTCCACTTCATGTATCATGTGTTTGAGGACATCCAGGCTGGGATTATTGCTATTTGATAAGTCTGTGGAGGCTGTGCTAGCTGATAACATGTTTTTCTTCTGCTTAGAAAGAACACGCGACTCCGGTTTTCTTTTCACTGACAATGACAGAAATCATTCTGTTTTAAGATCAGGAAAATTACAATAGAAAACCACTAGACAAAACTTTGGCTGTTGTTTACAGTTTATAAAAGGTTTATAGAAGTTATCACCATTTTCTCACAAAAATGTATAGAGTTTAAACCAGGTTTACACTATTTATAAGGAATATACTAGAACCATCTTTCTACAGTTACATGGGATAAAAGGGGACATTTCTTAGCTACCACTCAACAAGTTCTTACTTTTAGCTAGATCCAACTGAATGAATTTAAAGGAAAAAACATTTACTAAAATATTAAATAGTTCTATGAAGTTAAATGTTTAATAATTCATCTTTGTAAATGAGAGGACTAAACCTTTATTCAATGGCTGTGTTTGCTTCCTCGAGTTGAGCACTTGTCCCACAGCATAGCTGGAGGCCACAGACGTAGTGGATTCCTCGGGCTGAAGCCTGGTGTGGATTCTCTTAACTGCATTGGTAGCATTCAGAGCAGCTAAAAGAAAGAATAGTTCCACAAGTACCTCAGGTGAAATGTTTAAAGCATTTCAATTGGCAGATCAATCAGTATCTTCATTAGGCTAAGACAGTCAAAATTCAGTTAACTCTTTTAAAAATTACTGTGTTCGAGAAATAACATAATCAAGTAAGCTATCATATCAGAGACTGTTCGGTGTGGAATGGGCCCAGCTCCCAGTGGAAAGTGAGGTCTGATACACTGGACCCACGCCCATGGACAGGTTCTCCCATAAGGAATCAGGCCTGCACTGTACCTAAGCTGCTTTGAGACTTGCTTTTGCTAAAATTCCCTCACCCTAAATTGAGGCAGAAGTGTTTACTGTAACTTCCTAAAGTCTGTGCTAAACCTCTCCAGTATGGAGTGTAACTGGTTCAACCACTTTTCCCTTTGCATTTGCAAATATCCCTCTTCTGCGACGTGATTAGCTGCACTATCTCCTTTGTTTTCTGTAAAAGGTAACCACCTAAAGTGAACCTGTGCATAGTAAATGAGGACCATCATGTAACGTGCCCAGAAAAAGCAATAAAGGCCTGTCAAGGCACAGGCTGAGGCTTTTTCTCCTCTTGAGAGAGAAGCTGCACCATCCCTTTTCCTCCACGGGACTCAGTAGTCCATGTGAATTTCTCATATCTCATCCACAATGTCCCGGACCCCACAAGCCAGGGTCCATATCACTATCCCCCTGTGAGAAATAATACAGTGGGAAAATGTACCTTTTTGTCCTTCTGATGGAGAGGCAGATGATGGAGTTTCTGGAGGGCTTGGTATTTGAGACTGTGTTGCTATTTTATGTTGAATATCAGCCCACAGTTTATTAATTAACTCAGAATTATCTTCTTTTAGTTGGTGAAGAAACCTATAAATTATGAGGCAACAGCTATATTAGAATTAATAAGTGCTACCATTTAGACTGTTCAACTGTTTACATATTGGATTTGAAGAAACTTTTTATAACTCATAATCAAAGAAAAAACTCTGTTTTGCTTTAACTTTTAAGACAGAAGGCTAAAATGCCAGTCTTCTTGGCGTTAGGAGGAAACATTCCATCTCTCTCCCAGTTCCCAGTCTATGTGGGCTCCCAAAGCAGGGACATTTTGCACTTTCTGAAGTGGTATAAGTTCCCTCCTCCTCTCTTTCTCTAGAGAAAGCACATGGCTTGGTTCCTTTTGGTTTTTCTCTCCTACTAAGAAGCCTGTTCTCAGGTGAGAGGAGAGTTAAGAAGCTAGAAAAATTTCCAGGCAAGTGGAATAAGGAAACAGACAAGACAATGAAACAAGGCCAAACAATTTGAACAACTTACAGCCAGCTGGTGAATCCCAAGACCTTATCTCTTCCAAACAAGGGCACTTGAGAGCAAATGGTTTATAATTCCCCCCTAACTAGAGAATACATAGCTTAAATTTCCCTGGCCTGGGAAATACAAAACAGAGACCCAGTTAATGCCATTTGTGCCAGCTAAACTCAAGGACACAGTAAGTCAGGGGAACAAATAACCAAAAAGCCCATTAAACGCCAGACAGACCCAAGATTAAAGTAAAACAGACCAGAGAATAGTCACATCCCAGTACACTCATTGTAATGCATGAACATATGAAAAATGCACCTGGAAAGCTCCTGAATATTCACCTGAAACACCCCCCTAAGATTCTCACCCACAGGAAAAAAAAAGATAAAAAACCCTCAGGACAAAGACTCAGGGTGGGCACACCCATGCCCCTTCCCTGGCATGAACTTTTTGCATCCTCCTAGACCCTAAGGGTCTCCATGAGACTTGCAACCAGGGAACCAACAGGCAGCGGCAGTTTGATCTCTGATCCTGTCTCCAAGGTCCCCTTTTCTCTGACTTCCCAGTGAGCTAACGGCAGCCCAGCCTCAGCTCCCTCCTTTCTTGTACTATTTCTAGGAAGCCAAAGCAGAGCACTGCCAAGGCTCTACCCATTAACTCTCCTGTTGCCTCTTCTACCCTAAGTTGTTCCACTGTACCAGCCTTAATCAACACACTCTCAAAATCATCTGGACTCATGCTGTGAAATCTTTCCTACACCAAGTCAAGAACCCACACACTATAGGCTGGCCTGAGTGCAGGCCTGAGGCAGACCTACTCCAGACAGTCCCTGTCTGGTAACACTCAGGACACTGTCTCTGCCCATCATTACTGAAGCGAAGTGACTGAAGCAGACTCTGCCCTGTGTGTTGAGGAGCAGAGACAGGGAGTGGGAAGAAGAGCTGTAGTGTAGAAAAATATAGAGTGAAGCTTTTTGCTGTAAATATCTTCATCATCGATAAAACTGGTGTTTTAACCTCCAGTTGTCTATTTCTCAATTAGACTATGACTTAACAGAGCTAGGAGGCCAAAAAGCAGAAACAACCAAGCATCCACCAGGTGATGAATGTGATATATTTCCACACAATGAAATATTATGGAGCCATAAAAATGAATGAAGCACTGATATAGCTACAACCTAAAACATGGATGAATCTTGAAAACATACCAGACACGAAAGACCACATATTGCATGATTCTATATCTACGAAATGTCCAGAATAGGCAAATCCACAGACACAGAAAATAGATTAAACTAATAGATTAGATAGAGCTCAAGAGTTTTGGAGGAAATTAGGGTTTGGCTGTTAAAGAATGTAGGGTATCTTTTAGAGGTAATGCAAATATTTTAAAATTCAGTGTAGACTGCAAAATTCTGTGAATATACTCAAAATCATCAAATATCACACTTTAAATGGGTGAACTATATGATATGTGCACTATAAATAAATAAAGCCATTACCAAAAAAACAAACAAACCAACCAGGACAAGCAAAATCTCCTTTAGTGGCACCACAAACCTCATCCAAATGAAGTTGCTATCAAGCAACCTCCAGGCAGCACAATGAACATTAGTTGCTATAAAGTCTTATATTAAACAAAAACTCCGCAATGTAGTCTAGTCACAGGGAGACTCCTCTGTAAGACAGTGCTAGGTCTAAGTCTAAATAAACTTCAGGACAAATACTAAGACAAGTGTTGGAATAAAATTCCTGTACAAATTGGGAAAATCCAAACTAGTATGAATTCACATTTCTGTCTCTAATGTTTAAGAGTCTGGTTACATTAAATAATAACAAAAAGAAAAAATACAATACCATCTATGGTAGACTTAAGAATAATCCCCCACACCCAACTGGTATGGCCCAGTGGATTGAGTGCCAGCCTGCAAACCAAAGCATTGCTGGTTAGATTCTTGGTTGCAGGCCACATCTCCATTTGGGGGTGTGCAAGAGGCAACAGATTGATGTCTACCTCGCACATCGATGTTTCTCTCCCTCTCTTCCTCCCTCCCTCCCCCTCTCTCTAAAAATAAGTAAAATCTTTCTTTTTTTAAAAAAAGGAAGACGAATCCCCCAAAGTTACGTACAACCTAATCCCTGGAACCTGTGTTACCCTATCTGACCAAAAAGGGATTTTGCAGTTGTATACATCCATAAAAAGGCAATATAACAATGGCAATGTATCTATAAACCTAAATAAAATGGATATGTTCCTAAAAAAAGATAATTTACCAAAACAGACTTGAATAGAAATAGAAAATTTAAACTGAAAGATTTCAGCTAATGAAAATTCACCCACACCTGTTTGTCCCCCAAAAAGCAGAACAAAACTATAACACAAAACTTTAAAAGAAATAAAATATATTTAAACAAGTATTTGGATATATCTCCAAAATCTTGAATCAGAAAATCAAACACTAAAACAAAAACAATGGGTTAAAACCAGAAAGAAATAAAACAAGAATTGATTAAACTCAGGAAGTAAATCCAAGAAAAAGAAAAACTACCTGAAAAATAAATAACAAAGTATAATATGTCCAATGGAGAAATGTTAAATAAATATTTAATAATAAACACTGATGAATTATAGGATAACAACAAAAAGATTAAAAATAAGATTAAGAAAAATAAAAATGGCTACAGAGAAAGTACTTGAAAGACAGAAAAGATAAAAAAGAAAAAGAAAAAAGGACTCACTGAAAAAAAAGAAACCAGCTATATAGAATTTAAAACTATAAACCAAAACTTTAAAAAAAATCCATATATGAAAGAGTTAACTGGCTTGAATTGACCTGGAAAGGTAAACTCTATGGCATAACTTAGCAATATTTAAATCTGAGATAAAGGAAATAAAATTTAAATTTAAATATAAATATAAAGGAAATAAAATTATAAATATAAATGCTAAAGTTAAATATCAAGTCACTAGACAAAAGTGTCCAATTATTTAAAAGGACATGTAATCTTGACCAGTGTGGCTCAGTTGGTTGGGCATCATCCCACAAAGCTAATGGTCACCAGTTCAATTCCTGGTCAGGGCACATGCCTGGGTTGCAGGTTCAGTCCCCAGGAGGAATGTGCCAGAGGCAACCAGTTGATGTTCCTCCTCTTGCATCAATGTTTCTCTCACTCTCTTTCTCCCTCCCTCACCTCTCTATAAAGTATTTAAAATCTTTTTAAAGTAATAAAATAAAACAAAAAGGCAAGAAAATTATCCTAGAATCAGACTTCTCAAAGGCAACATTCAAAGCAAATGATGAGTAAAGTAGCATTTTCAAGAAAGTTAAGGAGGGAAAAAATATGAACCAAAGAATTTATATCCATCTAAGTTGTCCATCAAGTATCAAAGCCACAGAAAAACTCTGAAACGTACAAGAAATCAGGGAATACAATATTCAAAATCCCTATAAACTTTATCTGAGAGATCCAACAAAGAGTTAATTAGGGAAATGTCATAAAAAAACTGAGATGCACATTCACTATATTTACTTGTAGCTCTAAGATTAAAACAAAAACGGGATACAGAAGACATTAACAACATAATGAAGTGGATCTTGTGGATATACGTTTAGAACCTTGTACCTTGCTAATAGAGAATACATCTTCTCAGGAATACACATGGAACATTCACAAAAATTTGATCATACATTACGTCACAAAGAAAACATCATTAAGTTCTACAAGTAAAAATATTACAAACCATACTCTGAATGTAATGTAATCAAACTAAGAATAATAAAACAAAACAACAAAGAGGTTTTTCCATCTGGAAACATTTTTTTAAACCTATTAAACAACTGTTAGGAAAAAGAGAAAAACATAAACTAAAATTACTTAATTTCTAAAAAAACAAAACACTATATATTGAAATATACAGTACACATTAAAAGCAGTGTTTACAGAAAAATTTAGAATCTTAAAAATGTCAGTTAAGAATAAACAAATAAAAATAAATTCCCAACTCAAAATACTAGAAAAAAAAAAGGAAACAAAGAAAGGACAATAAAGAAAATGAACACAAAAACAAAAACTGATGATAAAGAAATCAGAAAATGGTAGCTCTGATTAATAAGTGAAAATCCTTGTTCTTTGGAAATTTAACAAAGTAGACAAACCACTAACCAATTTTAATAGGGGGAAGGGGGACCAGAAGAAATGATGAGGGAGAAATAAGCACTGAAACAGAAAACATTTTTTAGCAGTATACAGATTATTCACACACCTCTGTGTCAATATACTGATAAACCTAAATAAAATCAGTAAGATCTTAAAAAATCATAATTCACCAAAATTGGCTAAGCTACAAATACAAGGTTTAAATAATCCCATTTCCATAGAAGAAATAAAGTTAGTAAGGCATTTCCCCACCATAAAAGCACAAGGATCGAATAGTTCACAGGGGAATTCTACCAAATCTTCAAAGAACAGATAATCCCAATGCTACATAAACTGTTCCAGTACTTAAAAATTAGAGCCTTACATTCTTCTTATGAAATCAAGTATATCAATGTTACTTCAACCTGATATTCT